CTCTCTCTCTCTCTCTCTGACTATCTCTATCATGGATTCATCTTCTCGGTCCTCTGTCATCATTATCGGCGCAGGCATCTCCGGTAACCTAGCAGTACAGATTAACACAAACATTCACGCCATTAACACACACTTATTGTGTATATATATATATTTATATATCTGCTTTTTATACGAATGTAAATATTTCGTTTGATTCGAGTTTTTTATATTTTCTTGTTCGGTACTCGTCTTTTTGGGCGTTTGAAGGCGTATCGGCGGCTAAGGTTTTGGCGGAGAATGGAATAGATGACGTCGTGATTCTGGAAGCTACGGATCGTATTGGCGGCAGGATCCGGAAAGAGGATTTCTGTGGCGTTTCGGTGGAGCTAGGTGCTGGATGGATCGCCGGAGTCGGCGGAAAGGAGGCTAATCCGGTTTGGGAGCTCGCTTCTCAGTCGGGGCTCCGTACGTGCTTCTCCGATTATAGCAATGCCCGCTACAACATCTATGATCGGAGGTCAGAACCTGAAAACTTCGATTCTTCATTCTCGGCGTCCGCCTGCGAAACGGCACTCTTTCTGCGGGCCTCCTAGGGGATGAATAATTGTAGCATTTTGTTATTAGTTGCAAGATTGTGGTAGAATTTTTTACGAGTTAACTGAGTTGACTGAGTCGGTTGCAGCGGGAAGATTTTCCCGAGTGGAGTCGCGGCCGACTCGTACAAGAAAGCGGTGGACTCAGCCATCCAGAAACTCAGAAGCCAAGAGGCCAATTACACTGATGACCTCTCCAAAACAAACGAACCGCCTCTGTGAGTCTCATTTTTCAACTGGAATACGTAGAAAGATACTCATCCTTACTTATACTTCTTGATAATATCTTGTGCTGATATTTTATTTGGAAACGGAATTTTCTCAAAGAACAAAGAAAGGTAATGGAATAACGGTTTTTTGAATTTTTGTTTACTGTTTGCGTCGTTCGTTTTGAAGGTCGCCTAAGACGCCAATCGAGCTGGCAATTGACTTCATTCTCCACGATTTTGAGATGGCAGGTGATGTTGGCATCTTGTAACTGAATTCCTTGCTTATTTTTCTGTTTGGTTGCCGAGAAAAGCCAAGAAAATTAGTGGGGGTGATTCTAAGGTTAATGGAGGTAAAAAGAATCTCGTTGGAGTTTTAGTTTCGCTGGTAGGGAGGTGGCGGTTATGAGAATTCAAATAGCAAGCTAAACGGATAATGTGAAAATATTGGTTAGTAATTTTTAATTAATTTTCTGTTATTCTCCATAATTCACAGTTTCTCGGTAACCAAACAGATTTTTTGTTTTTGGGTTTTTGAATTGTGATATTGATAATTTGTTTGTTAACCTTTTTTATTTTTTGGGAGCAGAAGTTGAGCCAATATCAACATACTTGGATTTTGGGGAAAGAGAATTTCTAGTTGCAGATGAAAGAGGATACGAGTTTTTGCTATACAGAATGGCTCAGGATCTTCTTTTCACCTCTGAGGGTAAAGTTCTGGACACTCGTCTCAAACTTAATAAGGTAAAATTTGTTTAAATACTAAGCTTAATCAATTATTTAATATATTTTTTTGGGGGAGTGGTTGGTGTTCAGTTAATTAATTAATTAAAAAACTTTATTTTGTTGGACGTTGTTTTGTTTTTTTGTCTCGAATGATTTCAATGAGTGTTTTTTCCTCTTCTTATTATCGTCTAATCATGGGATGAAAACAAAGAGACAGGAAGTAATAGTTGCATAGGATTTTTATTATTTATATATGTTTTAATTTGAGAAAAATCTGAAACTCTGTTTTTGGAATTTACATATTTGTCTATTTGTTAATGAGGTTTGAATGACCCACTTTTGGGAGTTTCAAGATAATGACCTTATATATATATATATGTAATTGAAAGCTATGTTTAACTTTATTTTTAATTAAAATATGATAATATATTGACAAGATGAAAAAGATAGACTCTTTTTTCTTCTTCAATCATGATTTCATGTATTCGAAACCGTATAGTTGTTAATTATGAATTTTGATTTCTGAGTTGACACATGTTAAACTATTCCTTTTGTATGTATACATATTTATTATTTTATTATTCGTATTTCATATGATAATTCAATTCAATTAAGCAGCATCAATTTCTTAATTTGATCTTTTGGGTGGTGGATTACGAATACTTTTGCGAAGCGTTTGTTTACAGTACCGTATAATTTTCAAGTAAATATTCAATATTATGTTTTTCTTAATATATAATCCAGTACTATATTTAGTATTTCAAAATAGTAATGTATATAATATTAAGCAATTTTTTTGTACTGTAATTTTGTTTGAATTTTTAACTAAATAAACTTTGAAAAATATTATTTATTACAATATAACTTCAAAAAGATTACTTTAACTATTTGTTTGTTTATATTTTTTGATCTATTACTTAAGTTGTTTTTGGTACGTTAAATTGAAAAAGATATGATATTTTCTTTCATATTGTTCTCATGTTATACTGTTCAATATTATTCTAAATCAATACCTTGTTTATGATAGAGTTTAAAGAGGTGGGTCCGGAACATCTCTTTTTTAACTTTTATTATTGATCGGTGGACCATTCTGAATTATAAAAACGAAAAAAAATAGAAAATTTTAGTATTTACTCTTATTAATAATAATCAATATATTATATAGCATGAAGAAATACTTAATGGTGAAAATATCTTATTACGGTTAAAGAAATGTGGTCAGAAAAATGGTTGGTAAACTATAACTGTGAGTTTATACATATATATGTATAAAGACGATGGAAAAATATAACATAAAATAGGAAGGGTTGGAAATTTTGTTAATGTTGTGCATAGTGATGAATGGGGTCATGAAAAATTTGAACCCAACCAGAAGTCTTATGATAATGAGTAGTAGGAGGCACTGAGTTGGTCTGACCTATTTCTTCAATGATGGAATCATGGAAACATTACTTAGTTTGACCAGGAAATTTCGGTGATGCATTATATATATACGTATTTCTGCACTATCTCTATTTCACTTATAAAAAGATTTTAATTCGGATATATCTATACATCTGTCTACGTGCATGTATTGACAAATGAATATAATTCTCCTTATATATAATATTTGACTTCTTTTCTTGTAGAACAATGTAAAATTGATCATACTCTATGTCTGAAATGGGTAGTTTAACTAGTACGCAATCGGTGGCTTAAATTTATTGCAATTCCCAAATATCATGATATTTGCTGGTTAGTCATAGTTGTTGGATGGATTGTCACATGTAAATTTAGAAAACAATGAAAGAGAATGAAGAGTAATTGTCCTGTTTTAGGATTATAGTCGAGTTCACCTATTCATAAATAATTTATTTATTTTAAATATTTATCAAATAAGTAAAAAAATAAAATGTAAATTTATTAATCATATTTTTAAAATGTATAGACTCATGCATATTCCTGATGCATCTATTAAAATTTTAAAAATATAAAGAGAAAATGGATTTTATATTAACATATAATAATGGCAGATTGTGAGAGAAATTCAGCAGTCCACAAATGGTGTTAGGGTGAAAACAGAGGATGGTTGCGTCTACGAAGCCAATTACGTGATTTTGTCTGTTAGTATTGGTGTTCTCCAAAGTGATCTTATTTCTTTTTGGCCTCCTTTACCTGTAAGTTGCTTCTCTTCTCTTCTCTTTTCTTAAATTAAAATATTATCTTCAATTAAATCTATTTAATGATATACCATAGCTGGATATGCTTTATCTTTCAATCTTCTTTATGTATCACTGATGAATTTTCAATTTTCTTTTTATCATACTTCAAATAATTCACTCAAGAAAGATCGTAGTTTAACTCATAATACAACATGTTGACCTTTGAATGATCGAGGAGGAGAGAAATAGAATTGCAAAATTGTCTCTAATTTTTGTTGAGAATGACAGAGGCCCGCAATATTAAATGTAAGAATTTATTATGACAGAGATTTTCGAGGTCTCTTTATTATTATCATTATATATAATAATTGCAAAAACCATGGGTTGCCAGATGATCCACAGTATTCTCAACCACCACCCATAGGGTTCTATCTTCTCCTTGATGCATTTTTTACGTGCTGCCCCACGTGTGCTTTCGTACGTTTTCAGCCATTTGCAATTTATTATGCATACATAATTTACATTTATTAATTGTGACAGCTGCTTGCATATTTTGGTTTTCTTCCTTCTAATATTATTGAAAACCTGCTTCTTTCATCAATAAAACTTTTGCACTATGCTCCTGGCCCCCAAATAAAAGCTCTGCTTTCATCAAAATTGACATTTACTCACTTTATTGTTTATCATCTAAGGTAATATATGTATAATATAATTTAATTTGTTCTGTAGTATTCCGAGGTTAGGGTAGAACTATTTTGATGAGATCCTCATGAACTAAAGAAATTTGGATTTGGCTTCTTATATTGGAGATGTAAACTATGGTGAAAAATTGCTACCTAATTATAAGAATTATGGTGAAAATTATCGTTTAGAAGATTCAGGATGTTGAGTGGTAATCAATGCCTATAATTTGTTGTTATAATTACTTGTCTGTCACTCTCTGGACTTACTAAACAAGTCAAATTGTTATAGTAGATATTGACATAAAACAATGAATTAATGATTACAGAGGTGGAAGACAGAGGCAGTTGAGAAATGTGATGTGATGGTGTACACAAAGATCTTCCTCAAGTTCCCCTATATGTTCTGGCCTTGTGAGCCTGAAAAAGAGTTTTTCATCTATGCTCATGAGCGCAGAGGCTACTACACCTTTTGGCAGGTTGGTTCAGTTCTTGTCGTTGCTTCCGATGTGGTTGTGTGTGAATTACTTCCCGAAGCGATTTCTGGAGCATTTTTATTTTACAATTTTGTAGACTTATCTCTGTGTTTGTTATGTTAGTATTTCGTGAGATGCCCATCATATCATATGGAATTATAAATTGCCAGTTCTCGTTAATTATTATGAAGCTGCATAACTGGTGAATATGATGACAACCACGTTGCTATCATCGGTTAATGATATATCATTATTGAGTTATTACATTATTGTATAAAATCTGATATTATGTTGTATATTCCATCAACATGTGGGACACCAGCACTTTGATTTGCATTCCTTCTGGCTCATTGTTCTCCTTTTCATATATAAAATTACACAGCTGACAAACCATTCTCCTCCTTACTAAATTAATTAATCTTTTTGTGCCTAGTTTATCTCATGTAACCGATTCTCTTTCTAACCAAACCTGTAGAGGTACCTCTTCACTGTAATCTACCCATTTGGCAACACATCTATGCTTCAGGACTTAATTGACTTCTTCAAATCGGCATTCTTTTTGTGAAAATTGCACACTGTTGCATCATTTCCAAGTTTGATCTTTTTAGAAAATTTTCTAACCAATGAACTATAATTAAATGGAGCAGCATGCTAATTTTCTTATTCATGTCAAACCGATCAAAGAGGAGTATTTTCTGAGATGTTTGCTTTTCCAATCAGAGGCATTTTTTGCATAGTTGAATTGCATCTAGCTCCTTTACAACATGAAAAAGTATTATATAGATATCTAAATGCTAAAATCTTTCTTGTGCAAATTATTGAATGGAATTTTTCCTGTTAATATTGGTTTGCAGTTGTTTAACTTCATATGATATATCCAGTATCCGTCACTTTCTTGGATCTGGCAATAGTAGTTGTGCATCAAGATTAACGAAATTTCAGCCAGCCTTTTTTTTTTTTTTCTTATTTTCAAATTAAACAATATGCAGGCTGTGGTCAATTTTCTAATTCATTATTATATTAAATTGATCTCTGTGCATGATTTTGGCCAGATCGGATGTACTTTAGAAGTTTGGGATTTTCTGGAGGCAGTGTAAAGATCTCACTGTTCCCATCACTTTGATGCTCCTTATATTTTTATATATAGATCTCTACATGTATATGACAAATAAATTTGAATTATTTATCAATTTAGCCAAGTCGGTTGCTGATATGTTTGGTTCAATGTAATCAGCACATGGAGAACGCTTTCCCTGGATCCAATATCCTGGTCGTGACATTGACAAATGGTGAATCAAAACGTGTAGAAGCTCAATCGGATGAGGAGACACTTAGAGAAGCTATGGATGTGCTCCGAGACATGTTTGGACCTGACATACCTAACGCCACCAATATACTTGTGCCACGGTGGTGGAATGACAGATTCCAGCGTGGAAGTTACAGCAACTATCCTATTATAGCAAATGAGCAAGTTTTTCATAATATTAAGGTATGGTGTCTAATTCTTATTTAACAAAATTTCCCTTTTGTCTGATCCTAGTGTCATCCATTGATCAACTGAAGGTGATTTCCTTTGTGTGTTTGATAATCTGATGATTAGAAAGCAAAACTGTTGGTGAAAATGTTCGGAGCTCATTCTCCGGAAATCCATGTCAACAAATCTAGATGTTCTGGAACTGTTTTTCTCTGAAAGATTGTAGACATAGTATTTAAATTACAAATGATTGCTTATGATCATAAGAAGAAGGATGTTTAGTGAAATGAACTGAACAACTCGGGCCTCTATTAAAGTTCCCTGTTTTCTTGAATTCTTTAAAATTGCTAGTCTGAAATTTTAATTGTCATTCTCAAAGTCAATACCATCTTCTGACTGCTTGTTTGAATGCTTTGTCTAGGCACCTGTAGGAAGAATT